TGAGAAATTGATATCCTTTAGGATTGATTCAAGGATCTTGGGGCCTCCTTTTTTAGGTCTTTTCTTCATGAGTTTTGAGAGCTGATTCATCCTCCGTCTTTTCGATGTTTTAGGTGAATCAGTTCCTCCTCTCTCTCATCCCCATTTTTATTCTTTTTTTTCTTGCTTCTTGGTTCGGTTTTCAGTGCTTATGTCTGTGACATAAGTGCACACGTATAGCATTTTGCTATATGTGAAACCATCAAGCAAGGTTGCAAGCAGGTCGATTTTGTTTTGGGGCTTAGAGCGATGATGACAAAGGCGCGCTGGTGGTAGAGCAGAATAATATCTCATCCTACAACACCAGGACTCAATTTTGGAACCTGATGAACTATAAGATGAAAGTATCATTCACTGACACAAGACTAACGGGGGACCCGTACCTTCTTAAGTTGTTGGTGGTCCTACGCCCGACGACGTAATCGACTCGTGGACAACTATACTTTTTCAAAATTGATAAAACAAGTTGATAAGAACAGATACAATAAAAAAAATATTTTCACTACAAAAATTGATACAACTTTCCTTTTGTATGCATGAAATCTATATGCATGTCAAAAATAATAAATTTTAAATATATATCACAACTTGGTTGTCCACCTGTTGATTACCAGTTCTGGGCCAAGGAGTACCCTCCTAAGTTAGGTTCAGTAGGACATCCTTCTAGTGGAGTGTCGGGCTTTATATATTAGTGCTCTTAATTTTTAAAATTTGATTAAAGATCACAAGGGTTTTGGATTGATAAATGCATTCAACAAGCTACTGCTGGGACCTAGACAATACGGAACTCGGCATGAGGTAGCATCCCATGGATGACTTGAATGCCCTGATTTCGCACCAAGACATGTATAAATGAATCAATAGTTTGTAACTTAATTCACACATACATCTAAAAACTAATACCTTTTCATGTAGTTACATAGCAAAAATTAACTGTAAGCTCTATTGTGAAAAGATTTATGAATTTTCTTTTTGATACTTCATTGATTTTAAGTTGTATTTTGTTCTTGATACTTTCATTTTGTCATATTCATGAAAAAGAGTGAATCTTTAATTTTATTTTTTTTTAGGCTGTGATTGCAATGTCATAATGCAAAAGTTCATTGATTGCTCAAAAATAGCAAACCACTAATCCTCCTTTTGTATGAAATTCAGGAGTAATTTTCTTGAGGTAGATTTATTTGTTTAATTAAATTTCCTATAATGTTGAATCAAGATTTATTTAGATCTATAGGTGCCAGCGCCTTTATAGTTAATTATTCTTCTTGATCATGAGAAAACAATCTTAGTTAAAAAGGTCACTTATGCTCAATTTTAAGATAAAATTTTAGATTTGAAATTACTTAATGTGAAATAGTTAAATGAAATGAGATAAAGCTGATATAGTTACTTGGTTTCTTCATCTCAGGCATAGTGGGATTTGAGTCATCACACGCAAGGAACGTAATTAAAAACCATGGGTTATCTTTTAGCAGGCATTCCAAGCAAACTAGAGTGTAAGCCCTTAAGTGAAACGCGAAATTTTGAGAAAGACACCGACTCATACACTAACAAAAGGATTGTATTGCAAGTTTCATTGAATGACTTAAAGGCATATAGCATGGACAGTTGTAGTTTAGATGCGCTAAAATTGGCCATTAAGGGCTCAAAGAAGAATGTTTAAGACATATAGCATGGCCATTTGTTCTCCATGAGTTTTAGTTTGACTCAACGAAGAATGTTTAAGACACATGGGTTTTAGTTGGTTTAGTTTTGACAATAAGAAGACAACAGGCCTATGATTTAGGTGAGAAACATGATTTATTATACCAAAGGCATGACAGGTTGGGGTGGAACCCTAGTTTGCTTCATTGAAGAGGGCTTAATGTACCATATATGTTGAATGGCTCATGGCCATGAAACATGGCAAATTTTAGCCTAGGGAGTACAAGGAATGACCACAGATGGCTCGAAAGCATGGCAAGGCTTGTCCAATTTTATGACAGCAGATCTTAGTTTATTCTGTGGTGATAATTCCTTAGGCATGCAAAATTTAAGTTTGTCATATTTAGGCACTCTTTTGTTATGATCTTTTAGTCCATATCAAGACATTTTACTCAATTTCCTTCGAAGGTAAAATTCCTTGCTATTGAGATTAGCATATACATGCTGAAGGACATTTTGATGTATCCAAGAGTTGCTTCAAATAGGGAGGACTGAGTTAAGCACAAGCCTTGGGTTAGAATAACTCACTCCAAGGAGATGCCTTTGGCATAAATTGATTTAGGGTTACTTTGATATGTGTTAAAATCACCCAAATAGACCAAGCAAACTTGCAGAATCCAGGTCGGTCTAACTTGGGCAAGTGGATGGCCATGAGTCAATTCAGATGAGACATAGATGGGCTAATAGAAGGTACATGTAATTTCAAAGTCAGGGCTCACATCATAAACCTGCCCATAAAAATGATTTGACTAGTTATGAGAGCTCATCCTAAAGTTGTTTTGGCTAGGTAGCATGGAAGCCAACTCAATTATGTGTTTTGTGAGCTTAATAGCATGGATACTGGCTAAAGTTATGTATTTATTGGCACTATATTATTTTTGCTATAAAATAATTCGATTATTGGGTCTTACATCTTAGGAAAGATGAATACGAGGTTTTGATTGCACGGATTTGTTAGCTTGTGTTAGTTAAATGAGCTAGAATAGATCACATATCTAGAGGGCGGCTCAAGTGTGAGACATACAATCTTAAGGGTGAGGAAGATCAAAAGTAGAACTTATAAATCCTGAGTATAAAGAATGTTTGATGATGGGTATCGTGATCATACCATATATGCAAGGTGCTTCATATTAGTTTATGTTAATTGGATTATAATTTTATTTAATTTAAAATTTATAATTATAATCATGAACACATTTTGTAGATATTAGACTTAACCTGGCAATTATAATGGGACCACAATCACTCCCATAGTTGATGTTTGTGTTGACTAGGTCTGTTGAATCATATGAACGACTACTTATTTGGTTTGATTAACCAAGTAGAATAATATGGTGTAAATCACATTGTAACATGAGTATTGAAAGGATAGCTCATGCAAAAATGATGGATCAATTGAGGCACGTTCGCACCCCCCCTACACCTAGGGGCGTATTTATAATGTATTTGAATTTAAAAATTCCTTTGGGAGAGCATTATAGTTATTTATGTTGCCAAGAAGTCTATTTAACCTTCAATATAAATTTTATAAGATCATTTAAGAATGCATGAATATATTGGCACACTTCTTGGAACAAAGTTAAGGCATAAAACATGGGCATGTTTTAAAAAATGAAGTGAATGAGTATTTAAACCCAAATCAAGTGATAATGTTACCATCCACATGTCAACTTGAATTGGCTAGGAGTCAACCGATGTAGATTCATGTCGAGGCTTGAATGGTGGACAACCACTCATGCGTCAAGTATTGAAAACATATTGGACAACACTAACTTATGGAGCCAAATCATGGGCAGTTTTTATGGCTCGTATGACCATTTACAAAATATTATTCATTGCTACTTTTAATGCATTGACTTACAAGCCCTCCTCAAATATGTGAAACGAAGAGATTTTGTGAGAAGTGTTAGCTTCATCCTACCATGGCAAAGCATCATATTCAATTTTGTTCAAAGAACAGGTGGAGCACCCGACATGTTTTGGGCTTGAATTCTGGTCAAAAGAGTAGATTTACATGTCATTTATTTACTTTCTAGTCAAACTCCTTCGAACATAGTTGGTGGTTGCAGGTCCTAAACATTAAGGAGGAAAAATAAAATTCCAAGACTCAATTTTAGGCACAAAGTCTCACAGCTAGATGCATTGTAAACATGTGACTTCTTTGGTGTCATGAGTCATAACTTGCATGGAAACCGAAAATTGAGGAAAGAAGAGATATCAATGGTTAAGGTGTGAAACTATTCAACAGCACATGGGCTACAAATATTACTATTGTGATTTAAGGAGAAGCAATGGTAACGGTTCGAGCTTAGACACATTAAGCTTTGTTTGATTCCTTTTATAACTTCTTTTTTTTTTTTTATTAGATCATCCTAGTAGTTAGAGTCCCAAAATTTCTCAAATAAATACTAAATTAATTGTAAAACTTGCACAATCAATTTTCCATTATCGAACATCAATTTTTGTTAAGAAAATTAACCATACCTAAGTATTAAAATCCTTAATTAAATTAATTGAGACCTAGTGAAGCAAATTTAAGCCCAATAGACCATAATCTTGAAGTGAACATTTATGTTAATCAAGTAAATTGAACTAGATCATCCAATCTTCTTGAAAATAAGCAAAAAAAAAAAAAAAGGAGCATAATGATGTTTAAACTCGTACTAAATAGGCCCATTTAACAAAACAAACATAAAGGCTCTTAAGTCCACCATTCAAGCAGTTAAATCCTATCTAAATTTAAGGATTAGGTAAGCAAGGCTCCTCCAAAAAAAAAAGGCTTTCTTGCTAGCTTAACTAATAAATGTTCATATGCCAGCAAGTTCAATAATTCTCACTAACATAAGTGAAAGCTTCCTAAAAACTTTTCATACAAAACAGATATTTCTCTATATCTTTTCAATTTGTACTCCTTTTCAGGGAACTCCCTTTCCCCAGATCTTTATTTATCTCCTCTTAACTACTCATATATAAACATTAAAAGACAAGAAAATTTAGTTCAAACTAGGTAAATGAGTAAACTCTCATGCTAGGCCATCTATATGAAAAATTATTGAAGAATTATCAACCTGAAACTGCAAATAAAAAAATAAAAATAATAATAAAATCTATCAGAAAACATAAAGGTCAATTATTTGGAAAGCTCAGTGACAAAAGACGAGATAGATTCAGTGAACCACAAAATCTTAGTGAAACAAGAAAAATAAAAGGAAAAAATAGATAACAGTCCTCCATGCATTACAGGACATAGCATGTACCTTAGTTACTCTTGCTTTACGAGCTGCTGCCTCTGCTTCCCGGATTTTACGGGTCTTGAGAATATGAGATTGGGCTGTTTATGCCACCACTAAATTAGAAGGAGTGGAAAGTGAACCAAAACACTGTCACTTGAATTCCAAACAGCTAACGTCCATTCACAAATGAAAGATTTAAATACATATCACTTAATTCCTATGTATTCACGTAACTAGCACATAAACTTTAATTTTTACATGCATACCACCGTAACTATGCATGAAAAGCTGTATTTCACTTTTTTAAAATTAAAATGGGGGTATTTTTTATGTGATATGAAAGAATTGGATGGTATAAATGCAAAAAGTAAAATTTAGGTGTTAGATATGTAAATACATATGAATTTGATGGTATGTATGTAAAAATACCTTTACAAATCAAGACATAGATAAATGAATGGTTTAAGAATGAACTCATCATCGCATCATGGTGCTAAATTAAAATATGATGATAATGATCATGATCTCATTCATAAACACCAATCTTTTGCATTTGAACAGGTCTACAAAATTAAGGTCAAATATCTCAGAAATCAATGAATTCAACCAGCAATGCTAGATTATCTGTGGGGTTATACCTCCAAGTTTATCAGATATGATACGGTAATAATCTTCAGGGGTGAAATCGTAAAAATCATCAGGCTCATCTGCATATATCAATTGTTAATAAGAAAAAACACACAATGTTCCCAAAGGTCATTAGAACAGCAAGTACCACACTCCTAAAATTAAAACAAGACAATTACAGGAAAAAAATATCATGCAAGAGCTTTAGTATGAAGCATTCAGATTAATAAATTCAATTAAACTCCCATGCAATTTAGAAAATTAAGTTCCCATGACTGAACACTGCCATTTCCAAAGAAAGTAACAACAAACAATAGAGGATAAAGAAACACTTGTAATTACCATCGGGAGGAGCAGATACTTCATTGGATGATCCAGACGTTGCTGTGTTTGTGAAAACACGGATTTCATGTCCAAGTTCATTCGCTATAGATAAAAGCTTAGCCTGAGAATTTATGAAGTCATTAGTTTACAGAAAAGAACAATCTATAGTTCAACTTTATGTCATAAACATAAAACCTTCAGAACATATGCAAATATCAAAACGTATTTGTGTATTACATTGAGAACCTTGCACATTTTTTATACAGTAAAATTCTATACTACGCTAGATAATGTTATCTTCGGAGACAACTAGCTTTGACGATTATACTAGGGTAGAACATAGAAAGTATTAAAAAGGTTTCTATAACTGAACCTATGAGAATATGTAAAGAAAACAACTACAACTTGCAGAGAATGATTGCTGGATTGGAATTCCAGCCGAATTCCACCAGTTGCTTAGTCAGCGCTGGGTATGCACCCATTCAAAGTTACATCAACATGCAAGGCAGGACAGACTTCAACGAATTTATCACCTTAAAAGTTGAATGTTCATCCACTCGTGGACAGGGAAAAAAAGAAACAGAAATTACGAAAGTGAAATGAAAATGAACATCAATTCTGATCTTCTTGGTTTCAAGCAAAAGGAGAACATGTTAATGAACTCGTAACTAAAAAAAGAAAGGTGAAAGGAACCATTGAGTCGATCGCATAGTAGGCTATAACATTCTTTGTTTGAACAACAAGTGATTAAGCATCCCACGTGTTTTCTTTCCATTAGCCATCTAATATATCAAACATTTTAAAAATCTACCATCCCATCATTAAACAGCATCAAAAGCTTCTATTATAAAATGTTTTCTCATGAAACAAACAGATGGGAAGGTTTTTAAGAAAGTTTTAAAGGATTTTGGAGTGAAATTGTAAGGTTTTGGTTTGGTGAAAGGCTAAAAAAAAATATAGTTTAGAAATTTTTAGCAAATTTATGGATAAATTTTCATAGCAATAGAAGGCTCGTTTTTTTATTTATTGTTATTTTTATGGAAAATGGTGAAAACATTGAGATCAAAGGTTTGAGATTTTAACTGAATAATGGTGACAAATTAGGTTAATTGGACATGTGGTTCGAAAGTTGTTATGTGAATCGATCATTTTGGATGGACAACATTAGCCAGAATTTTGTGATAGGAGTAAAACTTAAGAAATGTGGGGATGCAGAAGAAAAGCAAAGAATCAGGCCCAATATTTCTTAAAGAAAATAAATAAAATAAAAACAAAGTAAGATTAATTGTCAAGATAATGAGCCTTTTGAGATAGATCTAATGAGAGGTCTCATTGCTTGCCCTCCATCAAATGCTAATTCTTTTCTAGATCCATTTAATTTCAATTTTGAAAGTTGTAAATTAGTAAGAGTTCAGTTAGTTCGGTGACAAGAGAGATTAGGTTGCAGAGATCCAATCAAAAGAACAAGGGCTATCAAACTCAACCTTTTAACACTCATCCAAGTTATCACCAGCACATCTCAAGTATGCTCCCATTGATGCAGCCTGCTAGGACGCCTGAGGATCTCTGCAAATTGGCTACTGCTTAATTTTCACTATCCTGTCTAATTACCATGGCGATCAACCAGATGAGCTAATGAGAACTTTAATTATAAGTCCGGCATTTATAAATTTAAATATTTTTTTTTTATTTAGTTGAATTCCAGGAGTATTTCACTCTTTTGATGGTCTGAGATCCATTTATAAAATTATCTACTCACATCAGTTGTAATCTAATGTGAATTATTGAATAATTTGAGTTTCATGGTTGAAACCTCGATTATATTTTAATCAATAGTTGTAACATGGATGACCAGAATTTCATCATGTGTGCGCCCTGCACCTCTTAAGATGACTGAAATTCACAATCAATCGTTTTATGTATAGTTTTGTAAGTTCTTCATTATCCTTCCTCTCACTTTTCTCTCCAATTCCCTAATAGATCTAACATCCTGTTTACATCAATTTGATTACAGTAGACGTTTATGTATTGAAAAGATTTATAGATTTATTAGTAATTAAGGTATTTTATAGCGTTATTCAAGAAAAGACTCTTTGAATATGGTTAAATAAATGAAGCAAACCATAAAATCTTAAAGATGGGATAACAACAACATCCCTCAGATAAAAACCTCAATCAGCCAGGCACCTGGCACCACTAAGATAAATATAATTGGTCGATTAAGTTAAACATCATTCATCTCAATAGTTCAGACCACAGAAACCAACCTAATACATTAAAGATTGTTTATTCACAATCACTCAAAACAAATTTGTCAACTACATGTGGTATGGGTATTAAGAGAAAAGTTGTATAGCCTCAGGATGCCTCCTTTAAAAAATAATATAATTAAATTCCAAACACTAATGATGAAATTATGAAATATTTTAAAGAAAATTAGTTTCCCTCTCTCCTGATGTAATAGAATAACATTATGAAAGATCTTTCATCTAATCTCACAAATAAATGACAAAAACTGAATATGATAACTCCATCATTCGAAAAATCGTTCGAGGCATATGCCTTAAGACGCCACTGTTAAGGCATACGCCTCATATTAAGAAAATTATATTATATACATGCTAAAATTATTCAGCTGGCTTACAAGGTCTATAACCACATGTGTGCAAGAGACCAACTAGAGGAGTATCTAAGCTTAGGCACCAGAGTAAGAGGTCATCAAACAAAGTGTGAGAGACAGGAGTTGACTGAGACCGAGAGGAGACGCAATAGGGAACCTATATCTAAACCTACTGAGCATAAGCAATTATAACAATAAAAATCTTAGTATCAATAACAATCTTAAGGGCAATAAATCTATCCCCAATTCTATTAATTTTTATAATATTATCTTTCAAACTCTTATCTATAATTACATCTACATCATTTTTAGTGAAACTCCTACCTGAATAACAAAGTTTAAAACCTAAGCTTTCAATCTCCTTAGCCTCTTCTCCAACCCATCTAGTTTTTTTGAATGCATAAGATTATTTATCTTCCTATGAACCATAATATCAGCTAATTCCATTAATTTACTTGTTAAAGTACTTATATTTGAAGATCATATCCTAATATTAGTTTCATAGACTCACTTCATTACACGCATCCATCCAAATGCCTTATGTGTTCTATAATGAAGTAATAATTCAACCTTGCTATGTGCTTATAAATGTAGCTCACTATATAACATTTATTGCAGCCCTCAAACCCTAATCAAAATTTATAAATAGAGGGCTGAGAAAGCCCAAGGGAGAGGTAATGTTTAATGTTTTCTACTCAAACTTATATTATTGAAATTCCAGAGCTTCTCACTCTAAACTTTAACTCTCTCTTTATAATCACTTATTCTTTTTTCTTTTTAAACATATTAATAAAACTTTGGCTTACATATAAATCTAGATCTAACATCCTAAAAGATTTGATAAACATGGAAGCAAAGATACAAAAGAAAAATAATTTGAGAATATGAAGAACAAAACAAAGAGACTTCAGTAAACACAGATAGCCAAGATATCATTAGAGGATAGCTAGCCAAAATGGAAGAAAAAATCAGCATGATGATCAAGAGAATTCAAAAGGGGTCCCAAAGTCCAACCCAAAAGTAAAGATATCAGGTACTAGCAAATACTATCAATTGAGCAGGACAACCCAATGAAAAGGGTAATGTCGTCAAATTCCTTGATTAAACTTATTACTCTAACAATGAAGAAGGCTATACTGCATCTTGTCAAACAAATGGAAAGCAAAAAATTAAAGCCAAAACTAAGAAGTTCATTCATGAGAAATATTATAGAAGTTTCCTACAAATTTCAAAATCCCTAATCCCAACTCCTACAATGGGAAATAGATCTGCCAATTAAGTTGCTATTTGCTATCTTTAAGAGATTAGGTTTAGGTTTTTTTTTTTTTTCTCAATGTTAGCAATGCTTTGAAGTGTTAGTTTTTATTTACTAAGAAAAAAAATCCATTATTTAGATGGTTCTTGCACGCCATGTTGGGATAATAATATCATTCACCAAAATCAAGAACCTATTTATCATTAGATTTGCCAATATTAATAAGTTGCAAAATTTAAACAAAAAAACTCACAGGCTTTACTTAAAAATAGGCAGGAACCTAAGCAATCACCATATAAATTCATCACTTATTGCCAGCATGAGTAGAAGGAAGAATACATGGTCAAACAATCAATCATTATGTACCTCATCCTCAATGACAACGACTAAGATGTAATAACTCCCCAATGTGACTATCAATCATAAATAAGTCAACAATATTAAAGTTAAAATGAACAAAGTTACACTAACCCAAGTTCGTTGAAAAGAAAGAGTTTTTTTGTGATTTTGTTATGACCTAATTATTGTAGGAAACATAGGACATGTGTTCTATTTTTTGTAGGTACATTTTTGTATTAAAAAATTTTTATTATATTCGAGATTAGAAATCTATATCACTACTAGAGAAAATCAGTATTTAACACGTGAATTTTTTGTAATTTTTTACTTGTCCCGAGTCTTTTTTTCAAAAGAGCTTAGCACTTGATATATAATGAATATAGTTTTCAACAAACTAAGGGTACTCACAAGTGAGTAATTCAATAATCCAACATCTTCAAAGAGTTCTATTATTTTTAAAAAATCCAGCGAACTTGCATGTGGAAAATTTAGTAATTTGACATCTATATATTCTATATACTCTGAAAACTCAATTAGAGAAAATTCAATTAATCTGAAGACTTTTCAATTTTTTTTCTATCATTTCTAACAAACTCAAAAAACAAATTTATCTCAAAAAGTGTCTTTCTTTTATCAGGAAAGTCTCTATTGGTATTTGATTGTTCATGGAAGATTAAAATTGATCATTCAATTTTGAATTATTAATTAGTGGTTCAATTAACTTGTCAAAATCTAGAAGATGCCTAAAGAATAAAAGGACGGGTCATGGAATTTGACACGTCCATTTAAAATGATATCTGCAATGAGTAGCAAACGAATACCTTCTATTTGACAAGTCAAAATGGCTAAATTCAAAAAAAACATCTTTAATGTAAGGTGAAGCTCATGACCGTGAAAAAAAAACATC